TGCATTTGTTTTTCAGGTTGTTTAACGTAATGTTCTCTCCACATTTTCGTGTGTCGATTGTCCATTACAATTCTTACCGTAGCTCACAAAACTGTCACTACTTAGGTAAATCATAACTTTTACGTCCATTTATGGTCCATCCTAGTTCAGTCCCTAGTAGCTGTATGTGTATGAACAATACTTCCTAGTGCTCCTTACCAAAATGATAGCAGCTTATTTCAGGAGTGTACGCTGTTAAATTTGAATGTGTGCGCAAACTTTTTTAGTTTCCCTATTAGTTCTTCAATTATTTTTTAGCGCATTTTTGAAAAAGAGCGAATATTCCAGAAATCCCGATAGATCTCAAGGCGCTATGAAAGATTAGTCAACGCCGATAGAGAACGAAGGTGGATGTGACGCATTTGCTATATAAGCAAATCGAATTGGGTTCCAGTAAGTTCCAATTTCAACACCGAAGTAATAAATAAGTTCGCGCTGTTATAAATTGCGTATTCGTGAGTGATAAATAATATTTTAACTCAATAATAATCACGTAATTAAATTTACGTTAAGTTGCGGCGGTCCACCTCCATGATCCGTTTTTTTACGTGGGCACTTTTTAATCGTTTCCAATGTATTGTAAATCACGACGGAAGGTCACGACCAGAAATTACCTATAATGTGTACTTTGTGTGCATAATTGATTAAATTAACGTATTCTGCAAAGCTGCGAAAGATGAAGAAGAGAATTAATTTTGTAATTAATAAATTAAAAAACCAGTTAGTTTACTTAAAATTAGGCTAGAGAATATTTTTAGATGTATTAATATTTTATTGCGTTGCTTACTCATTCCGCTTAAAAGGGTTTATAGAGCCTAAGGTCCTTTTCAGTGCACTTGATTAATCTTGTCGTCGTAAATCATATATCCTTTTGCATGTCTAAGCGGATCGTGTATGTCCTTCGTATAAAATGATAACGTCGTAGTAGATAATTTGATCATTGTGGATAAGCGAGGGAAAGAACTTGGAAGAAAGTGATTTAAAAGTTGTGAGAATATAGGTAGTATTTACTTGGACTAGCTGTATATATCGTGTGGTAGGTTGATGAGATCTTGGTGAATGCTCGGGCACGCCCAACTTAATTGTCGTTTAATTGAGATCGTGGTTTCCGTCTTTAACGTCCGAGACGCATTCTAATTAGTCTTTAATATTTGAAACTATTTCTACGTTGGAAAACACTGAACGGTTGTGACATCGATTTTAGGTTTGCCATCATTAATCCTTCCAAGTGTTACCCAAAGTTAATTTCTATTTTAAGACATCTCAAGTAACAGTTCCAAATGGAGAATTTGTTCTAGCGTAAATCTGTCACTCAATGAGAGGTCAGCATTTCGAATTTGTACGGATTTTCTTATATCAAACTGTTGTTTAGAAACATCGATTTTCTTAATACCGTGCATCATCTGACGTAACATCATATAGTATCTCTGAATCAATATTAATTTAATAGTTAATTTTCAGTTGTATTTCTCGTTACCCACGTAGCAGAACTATACAGGGTGTTACATGACCGCATTTCTAGAATATTCGCTACTGTATGAAGTCATGTCAAAATTATTTTTCAATATAAACTTTTGTAGGTATAAAGTACACAGTAACAGCAAACTATTGAATCTCTTGTTTTTATTGAATGAGCAGACTTAAACAATGAAAAGCTCATTATAAAAGCAGTGAGATGCTATAAAAAAAGCCAACAACGTCGACCGACCTATTTAGAATATTTTTAATTTTTCACAGCGAGTAGGTATCTGCCTTTCAGATATAATTTACGGAAGTCTATTAGCGGCGACAGTATAGAGCATCCGTGAAAACCTTACTTATACCAATAATCACTTTCAGTAATTTTCCTCAAATTTTAACTGAAAAATGTGGACAAACATGACATTATTTTATGTTTACAGTCTTAAAATGGCCAGGCCAATAATAGCATACATAAGAGGGTGGCTTTTATCCCCTTTCCGAGAACGAGACGTTCCGTACGTTTCCGAACCGTACACCTTTCACGGTTTCGTTTCCTTTTTATAGCATAAAACCGACTACAATTACTTTTTAGGATCAAATTTCTAATTCTTAGGGAGTTTTAGTAGGGCTCTCATGAATAAATAAACGATCGCTATTTTCCAACCAGTTAGCCTTCAAGTTTGCAATGATGTAAGGGCGCTGTCGTTTTCTGCTTCACTTAGTTCATTGAGTTTCATAGTCGGCATCACCAAAATCCAAAGCGAAAAACAATTTCACAATGGAATCTCTGCTAGAAACGTGGCCTCGTACATTGTAACTCTCCTCGTAATTTTTGTAATTAAAAACGCAGAGATACTGTGAAAGTATAGGTGGTAATGGAAAGAAATTTTCGCTCACCTATAATTAATAGTTCTTTAATGTTTGCGTCATCGATCGTAAATTGGCATTGCTATATTATAAATAATAAGAAGAATTATATACCTAGCCTGCATAGCGGAAGTGGAAAACTTGGGGACGCCATTAATTAAATGAAGGACTCGTTAACCGAATTCATTAATAATAATAATTTCTCGCAAAGTTTCAGTGGTCGAGCTTAATCACTAGAATTATTTATGTAAAAATTTGTAGACGCAATTATACTTTATTTTATAACTATCTACTACACTAAATAGACTGATGCTTTAATAGTTAACAATTTAATTGGATTGTTTTTCCCGATTCGCCTGTACCACCTCCCAAAACGCCGCAAACTGCCCGTAGGTATAAGTAGTAAGTATATCATCTCTTACGAAAAGCGACTTAGAAAAATTGACGGACATCTTCGTTGATAACACCCGAGGACCTGTCTATTTTCTTCATAGATTGGTTTTCGCTATTAATTTCGCTCGTTAATAAAGCGTATGATTACATCGAAAATTTGCGATGTAAAATTAACATGTCGCCCAAGATAAAGAAGAACGATATCCGCATAAAACCGTAAGCAATCTCCAATCGATTTAATATTAATATATTGTTAAATGCGCCGCCCGCTCTTCGCTCAGTTTTTTCCGCCACACTACCAAAACGTTTCTTTTAGTGTCATTCTTAAGTGGCCCTTCGCATTTTGTTTGTAATTAGAGACTTTCAGTACAATAATTGAAAGATCCTTTTTAAATAGGTCGTTCACAATCACAAAATTACCTAAAACCGTTTTCATAAAGCATGCAACATTATTGAAAATGTACCTGTATACTTTACACGGGACGGAGATGCGGTGGCGGGCTAATGAAAAAGTCTCCTCGTGTAAACAGTTCCAATTAACCAATAGCCCCTAAAATCGTAGAATCGCCGGGCGACTGGGACTATACCGAAATTTACTTTCAATGCTGTATGCAGGAAGTTGTATGTGTGAACGGCTCCAACGCAAGGTTCAGGTGTATCCGGGCGACTGTATTGCCTTGTAACTATAAGGACAAAGTGAAAGAAATATTATCCGAAACACGTTGGTATTTTTCATCGGTTACTTCAATCGGCCATGTTAGTAATACAAAAACCGACGTGGTTGATTCAAATGTCATGATAAAATATACCTATAGCGGATTAGCTGTTAATCTAGGGACGGAGCTTCATGACGCATCTGGGCGCCATCACCCCGTGTGCATTATTAACGTGGTGATTTTTCAGTTTATTCCTGTCCTTTTGGACAATTTTGGTCGGATTGTTTTCAAACTGAGGTGTCCTTCGATCTCATACGAGGACTTTGATAATCTTTTTACTCTCCCCCGTAGAGATAGTTATTTAGTTACAAATCAAAACCTGAAGCTTTTCTGAAACATGCCAGTCGAATGTTTATGGAATATACTTTTCTCTGTTGCGGAGCGAATTTATAATATTATGCATCGGTTTTATACATATAACGTTGACTGTATTTTCTTAATTTTCGTAGGAAATCGAGCAGTAGCAACAAATCTTTCTGTCGTCTTTGCAAATGGCACTTTTCTGAATAAATTAACGCATGGTTGTTGAAATAAAGAGATCAAATGCGCAAAATGCAGTAGCTAAATTTTAATTTTATAGGCAATAATTTTTCGCACAAACTCGAATAACTTGAAATAATTAATCTCGTTTGACGAATTTCCCCTCTCTAACGCGAACAAATTCTAATTTCATGTAAAATTGGGAAATTAGATATTTAATACTGTATCTTCGGTCCTGCCGAGAAAATGTAATTTCAACAAAACGTAGTCGGCTTTTTTGATGAGTTTTTAATGTAGTTATGTCGAGTAATTTTCAATTTAGCTTAAACTGTGAAGGAAAAGATTAGATTCTTTTTTTTGCTCCTCTTATATAGCTACACATTTATTTCAACATTCAGCTGTTCAAGGTTCATGTACAAACACTTAAATTTCTCTCTTTACATAGGGAATTACGAGTAGTAACAGTATTAACACTTAAAAAACTGATTTGAGATTGTCATGTTTACATATCAATTACGATCAATTGACGTATGAATCGGTGGATATACAAAAATATGCTATTTATCACCCTGTGTATAACAGATAGACCTATCGACAAACTTAACAATCATTTTCGTCGAAAGAGTCTTCGTGCTCCTTAAAATTAAGCGATGGCGTTCGCATTACCATGTACGATGATTCCGTGGAAGCCGGTGTCAGCAGTGGCGTGCCTTGCAGACTTATTGCCAACGGTAATGCCGATGGTGTGCAGAGGCTCGCCGTGCCCCTACTTTCTGTTACAGAGCGATATCGTACAGGTCGTGACAACCTAAAAAGGATAATTTTAATGACCATAACATTAACGCACGTCGTAACTTACCTGTGACACCTACACATTAACAATCGAATGAAAGCTGCACGAAAAGTTCGATTGAAAATTGTGTATATGATGGGGTTAATTGTGGAACTGACGTATCCCAGCCATAGGCAGATGACGACGACGTGGTCCGGTACGTTGCACGTGGGGCATGCCGCGAAGAATATGTTTAAAACGAAAAACGGAGCCCAGCAGAATACAAACGTAAAAAATACTAATCCTAGAACTTTGGAAGCTTTCTGTTCAGTCGCGACAGAATTGGCCAGGTTTTTTCGTTTCGCCCTTCCCGTTAACAACCTATAAATGAAAGCGATCAGTTAACTATTAATAGGCACGATTTAATTCGTGCATTAATCTAACAACTTAGAGGAGTTTGTTAAGTGATGCACTTAGAACCCTTCGCTATAAAGTGAACCAGCAATTTCATTTGTGCAGTCTGTCCTCGGTTGCGTACCTATATTTAAAGTATGGAAATTACTTTGTGGATTGGCGCAAAGGATAGTTGGTGGAGAAGTTCATTTGCGAGCCTTTTTTGTTGCTAAATTTCATTCGTAAGGACCAGGTCATTAAACGATCTAGTTAGCTAAAATATTCGTGATCAATTCCGAGTTGCCTCCATTTTGTTTCATAAAACTAGAAAAAAGACGCTGACACCCCACCAATAAATAAAAATTCAAAGTTTTATTGGCGTCTTCTCTCTCAATACATATACGTAATTTACGACTATGTCTGGGAAATAATATTTTCATAAGATGACGTGCTGCTTCCGTATGATAAGGTCTGTCCTCATTACTGCGTGCGTAATGGGGATTATATATCTGTAGTACGAAAACGGTATTTATTTTCAATTTCCCGCAATGAAATTGAAATGATGGTAACCCCTCCGGCTCTGTAAAGTTACGGTGATCCGTTTTTATTTTTATGTACTTTTACTCGTATCGCTTTTTTCGTCTTCAGTCGACCGAATTGTTCTCGATACGTAACAACTAAAGCTGCAAATCTCGATTATCTGGATTTACTTTCCAAGCAACTCTCGTTCAAATCGCTTACCGGAAATTCAAATTCGATGGTACGTTATTGAGTTGTAGTTTTAGAGAACGCAACTTAAAATTTCTGGTCTCTTTGGCAATGTTCTCAGGTGTCTGGGTGCTTTGATCTCGGTGCTTGGTGCCCGACGAGGAACCGGTGGCGCTGTTAAGATGCCCTCCATTTGCGTAGGGAAGTTGCGAAGTTATCCGTAGAGCGTGGGTCGACCTAAAAATTAAATGCGTGTATCATTGATAAGCCAGATACAAAATCTGAAAGGCAGCACTCGACTCAAAACTAAGTTTACCTATCAAGACCACCTGTGGTTCGCCACATCGAATTTTGCGCCGATATTGTTGGTATGGTTCTCTCTGTTTTGGATCCGAATCTTCCTCCCACTCGCCGAAATCGATCAGGTTCCAAATTTTCGGCTGCAAAACGTGCCTTTTTCCTCAAAAGTTGCACGGTGAGAGCATAGGTCACTACCATGATCACCATTGGAATATAAAACGAAACGAGCGAACCGAAAACGAAGAATGCTCGATTATTTATGACACACATGTTTTCTTGTGGCATTATGTTATCGTTATTTGTAACGCCTGTATAGTTTAAAGTTTGCATAAATTACCATGATTTACTCTAATCTTACCTAAGACTGTGATATAACTCGAAATTAACATTGAAAGAAGCCATACGAGTATAATTCTGAGAGCTATTGTGCGAGTGGTCGTGCTGTGTCTCGTCTTTAAGGGATTGCGAATTCCCAAATATCGCCCCAGACTTATGAAGCACATGTGCATGATGGAAGACGAACAGGCCAATACGTCGCAAGTTGTATAAATGTTGCACCATATTACTCCAAACGGCCAGTAACCTGAAACATGAGTCATTTTTTGGGAAAAATTTCAAGCCAATGGCGATATTTGTATCATGCTTAGATGCACATGGTAAGGGTTCCAGCGACGGATGGAGTAAACCGAAATAAGTAACATTCAGGATACCCCCATATAGAATAGATTCTGAATTTTATTATTTCTATATATATATTATGTTTATATTTTTAAATATTTCCCTTTCATCTAACTTAGTTCTCTGTTGGGATGAGTTTATAGATTTCTTAAAAAGTCACCGCTGAATAAGTGATTTAAATTGCAAGTCCTCCGTCAGCAGTCTTCAAAAAAGTACTTCGGATCATTTCTGTTATTTCTGTCAAAAATTGCAGATCGGATTCTTTTTCGCAGTCACATTTGGTGCGGTACCTTGTTTTAGTAATTCTAAAAACCTGCAACGCATCCCCAAAAGATTAGGTAAAACTGGCAGTTCCATTTTTATATGTGTGTTATGGTTGCAAATAAAATTTCGGGCGGATCATTTTCAACCGAACCCTTAATTTAATTCGAAAGAGGAGTGCTTGTTTTGAAAAGCGCTGCAACCTAATCCTTTTGCATCGACAGTAAATCGAATTTTTAATTTAATGATACGAATTCGAATCATTTGTAAATGTTGTAGATGTCAGGGATCTTTTGCTCTTGAAATCAATTTCACTCCGCTTTCCAATCCTGACAAAAGATGTGATGTTGAACTAATGTTTTAATGATTTGTTGTCTATAGGTTTATAATTTATAGCCAAATAGATGTTCAGTAAAAATATCTGAATGCATATCAAATTTGTATCGAATCTGTAGGGACAAATTGTAAATAAAAAGTGCGAGGGGGAGGGAGGAAGAGACTTATGGTTGCGTTCTTTCTTTAATTCGGAAATTTCGTGAAACGCCGTAACTAAATTCATTTGTATCAATTTAAGGGTGTTATACGTAAGGACTGTATATAGATTATACAGATAAACAACAAATCTGTAGAATAAGTAGGTATCTACTAATGTCAATATCACCTTTAGAAGCTACTTTTGGTGATACGGTCACATTTCACTTTTCTACAATTGGAGAAAAAATCTACAAGAAAAATATAGCTATTATACGATATTAATTATTGGCACTTCACCAAAATCGGAAATCGTCCATTAAATTATGAAAGTGAACATAACTCAATACATTAATTGTCGATTTGTACTTAAAAGAGACCGTAATCATGTTTAATGAAGTCTCGGTAGGGGTGAAAACATTTATGCATACTTCCTAAAAATTTGCCGACGGTTTTATTAAACTTTCATCATAACTGTCATCCAAAGGGAGTAATTAAGGTCAAATGGCATTTTATTAATCAAATAAATTAATTTTATAAGAGGTCGGTGTCAAGTTTGCATGATTTCTGCTTAAAAAAATTACATTGACTCTTTTAAACCGATTGATTATGACGATGTACAGCGCACGTACAGAACAAAAAACTTTTTTTTAGGTAACTCCATGTTAATCTTCATAATCCTCCCACCCGTTTACATATTTAATGTATTTCGGTATATGTTTGCCCGTTTTCAGGTGACGATTTCAACGCAGATTTGTAAATTAATCTTATAATGCCGCTTAAAAAATTCCACTATTTTAATGTAAGCCTGTTGTCCTGTCGCGATTTGAGAGTTCGGTTTCGGCGTAGATACTACACCTACTCCAGCTTAAACTTAATTTTGGATTAGATTGGGATAACCTGGTACGTATACTGAGGGATTAAGAGAATTTCATTAAACATTCTTTACGGCAAGGCAATGTAGGTAATGGAGTACTACAATTTTCGCTTTTACGATTAGAAAGCGCCCTCGTTATTTTACGGAATAAATTAAAAAATTAAATGGGATTTATATTACGTGCCGAAATGCGTTTGAAGATTTGAAAATACGAGTTCACTCTTGGAATGAATTTTCTATATTTTTAAATTATAATTACACATTTAATCGTAAAGGTGTTTTATCCATCTAATAACTCAAGATTTTTTAAATTCTAACTTTCTACGGGAGTAGGTACGTTTATGCAACCGATGCACGATGCAAATATGTAAGGATGCTCCCTTCGATTTTCTTATTTAGTATGATATAATTATGGAAGCCTTTTCTTATTCAAAATCATTGTTCTTACTTTTCCTTACATTTTTTTTATAAAAATAATAATTTAAAACTATATTTTTAATACTAACGGGTGGTCACTGACGTCATAACTTTACAATCCTTTCGTGTCCCTAATAAATAAATATATATATATGTCCAAATTTACAGTTAGATCTGTAAATTAACAAAAACATAACTTATACGATCCTTCCTACGTTTCCGTAACTAGCAGACGATTAAAATGTCAAAATTGAATTAAAAACGACCCATAAAAGGGAGAAATGTTTATTTGGTGGAAAAATGTGCAACTTTGTTATAATGCCGAACGCGAACAATTCGCTGACATTTAATAATCGCACATATTTTATGCGTTCGTTTCATCCATTTGCGATGGCAGTAAAATTTAATGCCTCGGGGATTTATCATTAGTGTAGACCCTTCCCGATTTTTTTCTGTATTTGATTCGTCAATCTTGAAAAAATATACTAGGTTAAAACACTCCCTTATAATTACATTACATACACGGTAATAGCTAATAGCTAACTAATTTAATGATATGAAACTAAATAGGGAATAAGTAAAGAGATGGAACGACGCCATTTTGAGGTTAGTTACGCACATTAATACATGGATTTTAAAAAAAAAGTTTTTACCATATTTTGTAGCATACCTACATCAATAAATAAAGGTATGCAGTATATGTTATTATACTTATAGTACAATATCTATTATGTACTTATGTTATCGTATGTTACCTACTCTATATCTACATATACAGGGTGTTACACGACCGTTCGAAAAAAAAAAATCGGGTTGTAGAGGGCATCAAAACAAGCACTTTTTCCAAATAAACCGAGGGTCCAACGTGTTTCGTTTGGGAGCCACCCCCCAAAGAGTGTTGAAATCTGCATTTCTTCTTTAATTTTTTTCTCAGCAACCATAAGAGTTACAAAGTCGGGTGGCATGTCTTTGAATAGGTTTTTGGGTATGCTCTTTCCGATTTTGCAATTTTTTTTTCAAAATTCCTACCCCTAAAGGGCGCACCCCTAAACTAGGGTGCAAAAAAAAATTCTGATTTCGACGAAATTTGGTATCTGGGGGTTTTTTAACATGAAAATCACGAATCTGAAATTAGTTTTTGAAAATTCGAAAAAAAAAGTTCCACTGCAATTCTTGGCGGGACAACGAAAATAGAGATAATTCCACGAAATTTGTTGTGTACATACTAAACGAGTTAAGGAACAAAACTGTCGAACAGTTTTTTAAAATAACTTTTCAAACAAAAGTTATACTCATTTGAATGTTGGTCCTTCGGGTCGCGAAGTGTCCCAAGCCTACTAGTAAGCCATAATTTCGCATGTGTTGGTTGACAATGTCGCAAAAACAAAAGATTAACGGTTTGAGTCGATATTTTGTTATTTGGAATTAATTCGGTCATTAAATGATTAAAAAATTCGATGTATCGATTAAAACACCTACCAAGGTATCTTAAAGCGCTGATCGATTATTTATTATCTAAATAAGGTAGGGGAAAAGGTCAAATCACTTTCCGTATGATACTTTTTCACTATGATCAAAAATTTTCATAATCTTAGGTTGAAAAATAACTTCCAAAAGAACACGCTCCTTTTAAGGACAAATTTCCCCTACCTTATTTAGATAATAAACAATCGATCAGCGCTTTAAGATACCTTGGTAGGTGTTTTAATCGATACATCGAATTTTTTTAATCATTTAATGACCGAATTAATTCCAAATAACAAAATATCGACTCAAACCGTTAATCTTTTGTTTTTGCGACATTGTCAACCAACACATGCGAAATTATGGCTTACTAGTAGGCTTGGGACACTTCGCGACCCGAAGGACCAACATTCAAATGAGTATAACTTTTGTTTGAAAAGTTATTTTAAAAAACTGTTCGACAGTTTTGTTCCTTAACTCGTTTAGTATGTACACAACAAATTTCGTGGAATTATCTCTATTTTCGTTGTCCCGCCAAGAATTGCAGTGGAACTTTTTTTTTCGAATTTTCAAAAACTAATTTCAGATTCGTGATTTTCATGTTAAAAAACCCCCAGATACCAAATTTCGTCGAAATCAGAATTTTTTTTTGCACCCTAGTTTAGGGGTGCGCCCTTTAGGGGTAGGAATTTTGAAAAAAAAATTGCAAAATCGGAAAGAGCATACCCAAAAACCTATTCAAAGACATGCCACCCGACTTTGTAACTCTTATGGTTGCTGAGAAAAAAATTAAAGAAGAAATGCAGATTTCAACACTCTTTGGGGGGTGGCTCCCAAACGAAACACGTTGGACCCTCGGTTTATTTGGAAAAAGTGCTTGTTTTGATGCCCTCTACAACCCGATTTTTTTTTTTCGAACGGTCGTGTAACACCCTGTAGATATAAAGGACTTACCATGGAGAAGTTGCCAGTTTTTTGTTGTAAATTAATTATGAAAATTTAAATAAAATGAAACAAAATCGCAAAAGAATCATTAAAATACCTTCAAAAATGTACAAGACTTTAAAGTCACTTGACCTGCGTGATAGTTCTCATTATTGACTCCACATGACATATGACCATCACCTATTATCGCTATTTGTCGCTCACATTTAAAAATTCAAAGGATACAATCATCCCGCTTGCAAACGCGATCGACAACTTAATTGTGCACGTTTCAGATGTTGCATTAAGGCCAATTCTCACCTTACATAAGCGACGCGAAGTGGTTAAATTCTCACAGAAACAGCGCAGCGCGGTTCAACAAATTGGCGCTTTGGGTCGGATCGCAGAGAACAAACCCCTCGAGCATGGGAAAATTGGTACTTTTCACAAGCTGAATGCGCGTATTTCGTTGTTATTAATGTAATCATATGTGTCGAAGAAAAATGTATTTGTTCTTTTGTGCCTACATAATTGGGTGTATATCTTCATACTCATTTTAATGCCAATTGAAATAAAAATGTGGCTTTGCACGGTGCCTGAATGTAAGATTTGCCCTTTCTCAAACCAGAAGTGTTTGCACTCCAATTTCTTCCCTATAATCACAAAATTGAATTGGCGGATTTTATTCTTGTCTTTAATTATGCTTAAATAGGTACAGGATGTCTCAGATCTTATGGGGTTACAAGAACAAATTTGGTATTTTTGAAGACGGAGATTAAGTTAGAAGTTTTGCATTTTTGTCCTGATTAAAGCGTCGTTCAGAAAACCGCTGATTTTCAAAGAATTGAATATATTTTTAATTATATCAACAAAAAGTTTCTTATTTGGATTAACGGATATTGGAAAAGTTCGAAAACAATGCCAGCATAATTCACAATAACGATTAATATGGTCTATAAATAAATATCGGTATATGTTCGTCGTATTTTATTTTTACACGATTAAACAGATTTTTTAATTTTCATTTCACCTACGTAACTAATTGGTTGTATGTACATTGTATAGGTACTTGCTTATACTACTTAATATGTATTAATCAGTTTAATAATTCAATGTTCTTTAAGCAATCATAGATTATCTTTAAAAAAAACGAATAAAAAACGCTTTTTGAGTATCTAAAAATACTATAGGTATTGCGCTAATGTATACAGTGCGTTCGAGATAAGAGGGTCACCTCAATATCTCTTTTATTTGACGAGATACGTAAAATTTGTTAAATATAATAAACTTCCGGTGTAACCGGAAATCGATGCAACTTTTAGTTTTCAAACGCAACGTCTATATTTTTACGATATTTGAAAAGAACAATCAATTTGCTGCACGACAACATAAAATATGCATTATGGTTGATATAAATACAAAAAGTCGCGGCGGAAAATCTAGTTATTAATAAAAAGGTGATATTTGTATAATCATCGGCATTTTTTTGTCATAATTTTTATGATGGCAGAGAATTCGGCGGTTTTCGCCTTCGTTATGATAACTTTAAGCCCGTAGGGGTGAGCAGGTGGAGATCATCATTCCACAATTTAACTGTTACGATACAAGTAATAATATTACCTAGTTTTTATTTAAATTTCTACACGAAATTTTAATCAGCACAAAAAATGCAAAATTTTGCCCGTTTAATAATGGCATAAGGTATTATACGCTCGCAACCGTATGTTCTTTTTCCCAAATGTTTATATAGTATGAAAGTGTAAGAGAATTGTTTACTTAAAATTGGGAGAATCACATGATACCCAATGGCAGATGATTTCATATAAAATGAAAGAAAGCTATACGACAATCCGTGTATGCTGAATTTTTGGTTTAATTTTACGAGAGAAGTACTTTATTCACACTTCACATTCATGGATTCAATAACAGTCGATCTATTTTGTTATTTGCGTTCTGATGTGAAAGATACGTGCAGTGAAAAGTAAGCTTTTATAATAGGTATTTTACCCATCCTCATTCTGCTGTGCTTTAAAGCCACAATTAATAGTCTCGAAATTGGGACAATTAGGGCTATATGAGGATTTTTCTACAAGCTTTAAATTAACAGCTTGGTTGTGGATAAGTACTCGTACTACACGAACCTTCTATATTAGATCCTGCAAACAAGCTTTATTCATAAATCCACTTTATTGCATTTAAAATTTAAATCGTTCATACAAAATGTTGTTGCAGAATATTTAGGTTAAACGTCAGAGAGGGAAGCGTTTTGCCACACGATTATAGGCTACCCCATACATAAGCGATTTCGCAAATACGCTACATTTCATAGACGTTGATATTTGTGTTATAAATTGTTTTAAAATTAACGTTTATTTTTTTTTTATTAAAGAACCAAGCATAAATACAAGCCATTTGCCCATAGCACCTACAAGATAAAAAATAATTTGTTGTCTTTAATGCCTCCTATTAAAAATTTGTACAGGAAACGAGGAAAAGCTTCCATTTGTCAAAATTGATTTGAACGTCTCTTACCTAAAAATCCTGGTATGGCACCCAGAGGCATAACGAAGAGACTGACAAGTAAGTCGGCGATTGCGAGTGATAGTAAAAAGTAGTTCGTTACATTTTGCAATCTTCTGTCTAGCAGCACAGCTAAACACACAAGTATATTGCCTAAACCACCGGCTATAATAAAAACGGCCACAAATAGAAAACTCCAATCGTAATTAGTTCCATCCCAAAAAAAGCTTCCGTTGGTTCCGTTGACTGAAACGTAATTGAAACTAAAATTGGTCGTAATGCATGTCCAATAATTTTCGTCGTCTCCAAAATATCTACATTTATAAGTGCTACTTATCCAAGCCGTTGTGAACACAAACTCGCTTACATTTTCGACACCAAATAAAGCGATAGTAATATTTTCCGAAACGTTACGGCTTTCGTTCTCATTACATTCGGCACATACAAACGTTTTATCACTTGATTTATTCAACTGACAGTAGAACTCGTATAGCTTCTCACCTACACTTTCGCACATTAATACCAGTTTCGTAGCATTGATGGGGCACCTAGTTAAATCGACGACTGCATCCACGCATCTTTTTCTATTCCAATAATCACCGTCGGTGAGTTCCGACGAGTTCATTTCCAAACTTCATCTAATTTCCATTTTTAACAATTATCTTCGATGCCTGAAAAAGATACCCATTTACTATAGGGAACTGAGTTTAAAACATGTACGTGACGTAAATTTCCAATACAAATTCCACGTTTATTTGGAGAGAAAATTAAAGCTTTTAGAGAAGTTTAGTTTATTATTCACCTTCTATCGTATGTATGTATCAACGACTTATAATTATTACTAATTAGTAAATATTACAGTATTTTCTACGAGTTTTACATACATTAAAACTTTGAAACTCGTTTCAAAAGACCATTTTGTACTTTCACGAAATTGAATTTTTTCAACTTTTACATAGCTAAGCGGCTTTTACTAATTCCGCTAGAATTCGACCAGATCTCCATAAATATTTTATTCCACTTAAAATTTAAAACAGTTGTTAAGGTTGTCCGACAAAACTTTTCTTCTAAGTAATTTCGAATTAATTTAACAGAAGTGTCTCTTGAACTTGCGTACTTAATTTTCGTTTTGTTTTTGAAATTATAATTTTGAACTGTGGCTTTGTGTTATTGTTAAATAACAATATTGGAATGCCGTTGTTTTGTTTGAAGCCTTCTTCATCTTTAACTATGTCTTACTCTTTACTTATGTGGATTTCGTGTGTTTGTTTTTGTTACTTATTGTTGTTTTGATATATGGAACTTGGCATAATAGAATTCGATGGTTTTATATTCAAGTTTGAGGTGAAGTAAACTGCAATATGCACGGTTGAAAATTGAAAGGGTGGATGAATTATATAAGATCATAACTTCCTTGATTTGTTATTAGTTATTACTATATGGGAACTCCCTCACCCACACGCGGTATGCCATGTATGAACAAAAAGAATTGCCCAACATTTGAATAGATAGGTACCTATATTAAGTTTCGAAACGCTTTTCTATATTCCTTCTTTAATCGTTTTGTACGAACATCTTTCATTTTTTTTCATAAATCTGGAAATTTACGTCAGGTAAATCGAATGGAAAATGAATTTGTAGCTAACATACCGTAACTCTGTTTTTCTTGGAAGATTATTACCGAAAATTGTATCCAATCGATTTTGCGTAAAACAATGTAGTCCGCCAACGCGACCTTTATCTCACGACAAAACAAACGCGCGTGTTGCAAAAGGCGCCCGGACGCTACCGGCGTCGGATATAAACTGACGCTGTGTAAGTCATCGTCGTCGCTTAACGCTTATCCCTTCAGCGCTATCGTAATATTATACCCAACCCATTATACAAGAGAAAATCGCACCTCCCTGTGAGACTGTTTATTAGTTATTAACTTATTACAAATGCCGTGGACACTTTCGATTGTTCCTATTTATTTTTACTTCAAATGTCAGCAGGAGTTTACAGCTCACTTTTGCTTATTCTTCATTTTGTCTTCAATCGAGTTCGTTTTACTACGAAATTTATTAGTTTCCATCTATTCTGCATACTAGGTATAACGAGTGTGTACCCTACACCTGCAAGTGCAGACTTGCTTTTAGTAACAAATTCGATGTAAACCAATTAAGATTATCTGTGTCTGCAGGTCACAAGTTATTAGGGTTTCGTTTTGGTTCTCCGTTTATTGCCTCGACATCCCCTAATCTGAACCGTGTAATTAGAAAATTTTTCATTACTTTCACATGACGTGATGATACCCGTCAATATTATTGTGAGTTCTGGATTTACAGTTGCGGATAGCAAAATCGTCAAGTCATCCATCCCATCCAAACGATTCATCTTTCTTTGCACTCTAGTGCTCATGTTCTTTCCTTGCGTTTGGTTCGAGGCCTACGTAAAGTAAGGATATGACGTGTAGAATTGTAGGTATACCGTATACTTTTCATTTTCGGTAACTTGGCCGATATGCTCAAAAAGCTGACGTGTTTTGGATATTGAAGAACATGAACATTAGAGGTTACGCTTAGTTCCGGATAATTTAAGCGAAGCTTAAAAAAGGCTCGTGTCAAATGGTGGCAAGAAAACATGACGTGTAACAGGTGACGAAAGATTATACTGCCTGCCGTAAGTATCTGAACACCCAGTATACTTTGATCGATTTTGATGAGATTTTCGGGCCGGTTGTAGGTATTTATTTCTAAATAAGAAACGACGAAAATTTCACAAAATCGTAGAACAGTGAGTGGCGGCTTGTCCGTTATCATTTGTCTTGTAACGTTACTTTTTGTACTTCATTGTAAAAATGAGTGATCTATCTGGTTCATTAAAATCTTCGGTTGCCAGTCAGATTGATTGGAGATCATTGGAATTTGAATTAGATAACCCATTCATATAACTACTTATAATGGATGGAGAGGGAATGAGAAAAATGTGTGCGTAAATGGTTCCAAAAACTCTTCCGGAAGGAGAAAATACATTGATTGAATATGAAACCCGTTTCTTGGAACTTGTCATTACCAATTTAGTTTATTTATTTGTCCCTCTCTTGCTCTGGGCCCTCAACAGGCTTTCGTCCAATTACAGAGTGACCCGCATAATGCTTTTTAGAGTTGCCCCTGCAGAAGGTCTAAGTTGTTCTATACTACTCCGGTATTTACCTTACGAATTAGGAAAACTGCAGGAAATCCCAATTCGGAGTAGCCGGCAGAATGCTCGAAACTGATTTGAGGAAATTCACAGATGAAAAATTCACCTCAACCCAGGTTCGGACACTTGATCTCCCGGCTATGTAGCTCAACTTTCTACCACTGAGGCACACAGACGTGTGTACTGTGTCATGTGTGGCGAAAGGATACTATTTTCAAAGAGATAATAATGAATTGTAATTATATTTACATAAGTAATCAATATTTATGGAGCATTTGACTTAATATACACACCTCGTACATTTCATTTCTTGCGTTTAGTCCATAGCGCTTTGTAAGTTCATTTCTTCATGTAAACTTTTGCAAGTCGACATGATCTAAAAACTAAACAGTGCGTCTAACATTTAATATAAACCAGGTTTATTATTATTACATTAATTTAATAAATTGTAAGATACATAAATATGTACTTTTTACTTGTCGAAAATTGGATGTAGTATCTTTGATCGCTTAAAACGTTAGGTACATGAGCCAGGCCAATTCATTCATATTTAAATGTCGTTTGACAAAAATGACGCCTATCCAAAAATAGGTCTGAAATTCTTATTAAGAATATCTAATATAGAGCCACCGTATGAAATTTTCAGCCTTTTTTTTTCATTTTCATATCTTGTGAAGTTGTTTGAACAGAGTATTGATTTATATTACTTTTATTTTGAGATGCCAAGATGATTATTATAAATATATTTCCCATATAATTTGGAAATTTTAGAATGCAACGCTAGAAAGAAAAATGCTCGTTTTGTAAATATTTTAAAACGTAAAGATGCTGAATCTCAAATAATCGAGGCGAACTTTCCTAATGGCCAACTTTTCTGTGGCCAATCAATATATTTGAAGTAAAAAGCAAACAGAAGATTGCCAATTTTTCATTCTGTAAAGCAACTTTGAATGTTCTTTTTTATTTGGTAGTGGTTTTTATAATTCGCTATTTGTCTAAATCTTAATAACGTGGATGACTTTAAATAAAAACGACCTTAATTTGTATGGCCCCTACTGTTACGCATATAGAAAAAGTTAACTTCAAATGATACAATAAACGAAGTGTGAAGAGCGGCCGATATAAGCGGTAGTACTAATGGCATTAACAATTTTTATAATTGTTTGGCGAGGCACGAAAATTAATTTGCCAGAAACAAGCGCCCGCGCCGGCGACGAAAACGTGTTCCTCGACTTTTCAATTTAAATATCAAGTCGTTGAAAAATCCTTTTTCGCGTTTAATTGGAATTGATATGAAAACTTTTTTAGCACCGAAGGTTGCCTCTTGAAACCCTTTACCCTTAAAAGTGAAGTTGCTTGAATTATAATTGTTGTACACTGGACGGCTCGACCCTCTCAATGCGTGAAAGTTTCTATCACTACGTTTAAAATCTCTTCAAGAGACTCTCGAAACGACCCTTCAACTGTCTCTCTCTTTTAGGTCCAACTTTGAATCAAAATTTTGTTGCTCAGTCGTTAATTCAGGTCTATCATTTGATTAATAACCTACAAGCGGTTATCAAATATGCACCACATTTTCTTTTGAACGAGACGAAAACTTCATGATTAAATACTATAATTTTTACCGTTCCCAGTTTATATTAATGTTATCCCTGTATGGACCTAGAAATCTAAAAGTAAAAACGTTAGCGTCTGTGTGTGTATAAGGAATCCTAATACTTTGTAATAATAGTAGTTTACCTAAGTAACGTTATTATGGGTTTTACATTACGAGAGAATATGTTGCCCCGAGTTCTTTAAAATTCCCGACGAATGTAAAACCTTTTTCGTCATCCCATACTGTTATTTCAATTTAACTCATCTCATTTGACAAGTGAAATGTCATTCGTAACGGACGGCGTCCGTTAAAAAATAACGGATGCGTATGCGGCCGTTAAGGAACAATGCTTTATTGAAATATAAACAACTAGGTAGGTACTTATTATAATGGATATATGAAAATTAAAGTGTAAACAGAACGGGGTTCTGCCTTCAGGTAGCTCCAGCCGGCTGGCCAGAGATCGAAATTCGTATTGATTGAAATTGTTTAATTAATAAAATAAAATAAATAAAAAAATTCAAATATTCAAATCCCGATGTTGGGTACGGGGACACCTCCACCGTCTATCAAATCCTCGGTTGACCTTGGACTCTGGTACGGCGTTTTCTTTTCCCCAACTGGAAACGTGCGGTGGATGTGGCAAGTGCTACTAGTTCGCTGTTAATGATAAGAGTTATTACCACATAAGCCCGGATGCTTATCAAGGCTCGAGGAGGTATCAGTAAAGGAAGTATAGGAAGCTTTCTCCAGCAATTATATTTTAGGTGCTCTTCAGCAAAGAAATAATAGCTCTCTAATAAGGTCGGCAAGGATTTACCTGGCGACGGCCCTTACAGAGGAACTTCCACCCGGTTCCAACAACCTCTACTCAAAGTCGGTGGAATCAGACGGCAAACACGGAAGGGAAGATCTTTGGATTAGAGTCCGATCGACCGACCGAAGGCAAGAATACAAAGAACTAGTTCTGTGTCCGGTTTTATAAGCCCGCAGGGATTTACTCTACCAGGATTATCTTCCCGGGAACAGGTGAGTAAAACGGCAAAACTAAAAGTAATTATCAAATTAATAAATAGGTCTGGGAAAATAATGAAACTAAAACGAAAAGCTCTGGTGGAATTAAAACGGAAAATAAAATAAATTAAACGGATCTCAGGTTTTCGAAACGGGCAGGAATCTGGTCTGGTTCTGGTTCGGGGGATGATTTTAACAAGGAACGGAATTAATCGGAAGTGCTCTCTGTACTTTACAAACACCTTTTATAGGACACACAACAAGATGGGAGATGTAGAAGGGATTGCAAATAAAGGATGGGGACGACAACAGGCGACATCTAACGAGGGGATTTTACAAACATAGTACAGGATGTTTCACAAATAAAATTCCAACGTTATCAATTTGATGTTTTCTTACAAAAGTGACAGTTATTGCTAGAAATCTGTAGACCATCGTAAGAAACTTGAAGACCACTAGCACCTGTGGATATTACCTACACTTGATGAAGAAGCTGTGGCTATGGATGTTGTATTTTCAGCGTTTCCATCGGAACTTTGAAATATTTGTTTGATGATTTTTAATCGCTTCGAAACTTTTGTCCATAATGAATTGGGCGAGTACATTTCCGATTTTCCCTTTACGTACGCTAATCTCTTAATCTTAAGCCATTCCTTGAAATCTTCGTATTGTTTATGATATCGCTCCCTGTTTTTTCTGGTAGCAAACCGACACTTGCAGCCATGGAATCTGCTAATACGTCTGGAGGAATATTGTATGTTATTAATTTTCGTGCATATTTTTGGAAAAACGTACAGCTTCTCAGCACGCGTTTTTAACGAATTGTTTATTTTAAGTAGTTGCGTCCATGACAACCGCTAACATGTGACCATGAGCATACCATGATCAAGATAATTATTATACTTAACTATTGCGAAAAGATGAATCTTTATGAAGTCAAAATATATAATTTCCAGATGATGGGATGACGAAAAATCTTGAACGACACACGGCCGATACGCAAATAACGGACTTCGTTGAATATAAACCTCGGCTGACGCCTCGGTTTACAAACTTCAACCACGTCCGTTATTTGCTACATATCGGCCTTATGACGTTAATAACTATAACGTTACGTGTTTCGTAACACGTTTTATTTTATCCTAAGTAAAACTTGCAGACATTCATGTTAGTTATGCGACATTTAGCATTTAGGTAGAATAATGGATAGAATGATAAACATAACCCGTCGCTAAGGAGTTATTGTTACTATAACGATTTAGGATAAAATTATAATGAACCCGATTATTTGGTAATTTACATTGACAGTACACATACAATTCCGTATGGAATATTGACAAGCGTTTAAGCGTCGCGTATTTCCCATTTACCCAAATTTATATGCCGCGCGTTATTGAAAATATAAGAAAATCTAATATTCACTCCCTTCGCTTTTAATGTGATTTTTTTCTAAAGTGACTGATGTATCACATAATATCGTAAATATTTATTGCAAAGCTTAAGGACTTGATGCAGCAGGCTACGCTTAAAATATTAATATTACCAGAAAGAAGCCGTTTTGTGAACAATGAATAATAGAAATTGGACACGAAAATTAATAATAGTCGAATCTAGGCGATGAAGCATTGAACTTCATCTTTAGTGGGTTGGTAAATAGATATAAAAGCGAGGCGTAGGGATCATCTAAACAATAAACTTTGTCATAAAGACTGCTACATTATCAGTATGCCACAGGATAATTAAAATAAATTGATGGGGGTATGTTTGTAATGTATCTACTGAATACAAAAGCATTAGCGAGGGTAAGGATGAAATAAAGTTATCCTAAAGACTGAGTTCTTAAAATTGGAGATTGCTCTAGTGCAGTTGAATGTGGCAATTGGAAGATATCAATTTGAATCTCTTCGAATAGATTTTAAAATTGGCGCATGTAATTGCATTTTCAAATTTTCAACTTTCGCCTTTCAGAACTCTGTCTGTCAAATTGAAGAAAAAAATTGGGTAATATAAGCTAAAAGACTACAAAATGATTATAATGGAAACAACCTTCATTAATTTTTTTGTGGATAAATGTAACTTTTTTGTTCATTAATCTTTTGGGCGCACATGCTTAAATCCATTTGAATATATGTTTAGGGGACGCTTTTTTTAGCCATAACAAAAATCAATAGAGCTAGCACGACTGCTTCACCACTTATTTCTTCTTTTTTTTTGCAGAACACCGGAGCAGTGTCCGAGTGTGGTCTCTCTTCTTGCCGAAAGTTACAATCCGCACGTGCGTTACGGCGCTGCTATGGCATTGGGCATCGCTTGCGCCGGCACTGGACTACGCGAAGCCATTGCACTCCTTGAGCCAATGGTTATGTTTGATCCCGTAAATTTTGTTCGCCAAGGGGCTCTCATCGCGTCCGCCATGATTTTAATTCAACAAACGGAGCAAACCAGTCCCAAGGTGACCTTCTTTCGCCAATCCTACGCTCAAGTTATCAGCAATAAACATGAGGACGTGATGGCTAAATTTGGAGCAATTTTGGCCCAGGGTATAATCGATGCAGGAGGCCGAAATGTGACTTTATCGCTTCAGTCGCGCACCGGACATACTAATATGTTGGCTGTTGTGGGAACCTTGGTCTTTACCCAATATTGGTACTGGTTTCCTTTGGCTCACTGCCTTTCGCTAGCCTACACTCCTACCTGCATCATAGCCCTTAATTCGCAGCTTAAGGTAAGTTCCTAAATTGAGAACTGCAAAACTTACACGAAACCCTCGCAGATGCCAAAGTTAGATCTGAAATCAAACGCTAAACCGAGTACGTATGCGTACCCTCCGCCTTTGGAGGAAAAAAAACGTGAGGAGCGGGAAAAGGTAACTACGGCCGTGTTGAGCATTGCCGCTCGTCAACGAAGAAGAGACCACGAACGTAAACACCGCGACGAAAAAATGGACGTGGTAAGTGTCTAAATTCTGAAGAAATGCATCTCTTATACATAATTTTTAGGATGCAGATAGTAGTGATACAAAGTCCGTGACATCGTCAATAGAAGAAAAGAAATCTACAACCACTACAGAAGACAAAAAGGAAGAAAAGAAACCAATTGATGGCAAGAAAGATGACAAAGACGAAAAGAAGAAGGAAGAAAAAGAAGAAAAGAAGAAGGAGCCTGAGCCAAACTTTGAAATATTGAGTAACCCCGCGCGCATATTACGACAACAACTAAAAGTTATTTCCTTGAATGAGGGCTCTCAATATGTCTCTATGAAAGATGTTTCTATCGGTGGCATAATAATGGTTAGAAACTTGAAACCTGGAGAGGAAGAGCTTGTGGAGCCTGTTGCAGGTAAATAATGGGCGATCGAGTCGCCTTTGGAAGGTCAAGTTGAATATGATTTCGCATGCAACTCATTTTTGATCGCATAGTACTTTCATTATTCGTTTTTATGTTTGAAGCGAGACATCTCCATTTTTAGACATTAGCATCGAAAACTTGTGTTTCATATAATTATAATTCTACTGAACGCATTCTGATTTTAGCATTTGGACCAAAAGGGGATGATGAAAAGGAACCTGAACCCCCAGAGCCCTTCGAATGGACCGAGTAATTTAGATGATTTTCTGTTATTAATAAACAATGTATCCTTAATAAAACATTTACATGTGTGGTTTTGTGAACGCAAATGACAGTTTTAATCAAAACTTCAGAAACCTCTTCTTTTTCTGATAAACATATTAAAGTGACACTGTTTACCATCACAACTCAAACGAAAAAGTGTCACTCAAATGATAATAATTACCTTGTTTTTACCAAAACTAATACTATTATCTTTGCCTTTGCCCTTTTAGTTCGAGATTTCCACCAAGATGAATTTCGCACCATCATCACACCAAAGACCTTCACTAAATAAAAGTTGAGAGAATAGCTTATTTCAAGATGAATTTAAAAATTCATTCAAAGAAGACACATCGTATTTACCGAAAAAAGTTTCAACAAAACAAAAGCAATGGTTAGATGGTTCTGGACCAAGTCTAAGGTTTTCCAGTGCTTTCAAATTTTTGAAGGAGATTATTACAAGTTCCAGACGCAACCCGCTTCAGAACACCATTAAAAATAGTGGAGTTGTAAAAGTAAGCAGCTATGACTAGTAGAAACTTTTATGTTTGTGGAAGCTTAGTTGACCAAACAACAATACCAACTAATTAGAGAAAACGACCTAGAACCTGGGTACACATCATTCAAAAAACCAGCTATGATTACTATCCACAAGCTTATAGTATTATGCCACATCCACACGCTAGGCACTTGCCACAAACTCCAAACGTTTGGCTTGTAATACTGAGGATCCTTCGATATTTCGTTGTATCGGTTTATTGTTATTATAATTTCGGAGGAGAAATGATTATTGTTGTTTATTTATTTTAGATAGATATACTACTACTACTCAATTAAAAAGGTTATGCATCGCTACTTTTTTTTATCTTTATGATCACTATTACCTAGGCCCCAAATGCAGGGTTCTCCCTGGTAACGTTCCAGATGGTAACGTTCCAGACGTTTTCTTGCTTGAACAGTAACTCATTTGTACACGTCTACGCCTGTTCGCCGCCACGCCAGTGCACAAATGAAAAGCGAGTGCACACAAATGTGTGGACGCGTTGCAAGTGCTTGCGGCAAATTCCCTTTGATTTGTGACAAAATACAGACACTCTGATTAGTCTGATTGGTTACAAACGCTTGAAAACCTCACACAAGCCAAGTCAAACGCTCTATCCACACTGTTGAATTTGTGATGTGATTTCTTCTGAAGCTCAAAAGAGTGCAATAGTGACAATTCATCAAAATAATATAGCCGCATGTTTAGATTTTTCCCATATATATAGTATTCTGTGTTTTATTCTCTGATTACTTATATTTCTATTATATCTTTTGTTTTTGACTAATAAATGCATAATTTTTTATAAAAAATGATTTCTCCTTTCAAAATAAACTAAAACTATCGAGGGAAATTAGGGTGAAATCTTAACGAACTAAAAAGCGACGGTGGCGTCATAAGTGTAATTTGGGGTGGTTTTCTGTGAGTGTAATCTTGACGTACTAGGTACACGGCAACGCTAACGATGTAAATTCCTGGTAATTATTAATTATCTAAACGACTTATGTCAATATTCCCTTCCAAAGCCCACATTCTACATTTTTGGGATGTGTTTCTTTTTTCTCACCATTTTCTTCGTACAAACAGTTCTATGTGAGAATAAGCTGTAGATTTTTACTCCAGGTTGTTTAATTTATGCTGACACTTCGTTTCTGTACCTGTAATTGTTTCTTTTATTTCTTCAAAATAGTTGTTTCAAATGAATAAAATGTAAAAATATTATGTTAGATTTTCAATTACGATTTTGAAAGAAAATAATTAAAACGACTACAGTTGCAGCGCCACCTATTCATAAATAATTGGATCGATGGTTTACATTGGCCCGAGAACTGGAAGGAGAGTACTCGAGCTAAAACGGAAGCCTGTAAAGATTGATTTTCCTCGCGATAGTGTTTCCCGAACCTAAATACGAGATGGTGCTGAAGTAAGTTACCTACTTAAAATTTCGAAAGTGTCAGCCCAAGTAAAAAGGAATTAATTATTGAATCTTCCTTCTTTCACATTCTGTCATTAGCGAATTCCATTATTTGTTGAAGATTCGGTTTTCTAAGCCATGTTTTGCAGAAGATAAAAAATAAGAGTTTTAAATTTTCCTAATAACTTTAGAAGTATCATTGTATTTCGTTTATAAATACAATGGAAGTATATAGCTGGGTATATTATTTTTACTGTGTCAAAAAATCGATGTTGGGCACTTGCTGGAAAACATTAGATAAGTACATAATTTACGATCCCCACGCCCTTCCGATTCTATTAACGATAATTTTAGCACCTGTATTTAGAGGCAAGTCGTTTCTGAATGAAAATCGCTCCTAATTATATACTTACTTCTTACCTTTCTAAAACAATGTTTTCAGGTGTTTATCACTATCCCATTTTTACGCGCTTTTTGGTTGTACGAGGTTGTTTTCCGTGTTGAAGGAAGTAGTCGATCAATTTACTGATCCGTCCAGGTGGGTTGTGCGGGTAACACCCACGTGTGCACTACATGTAGTATAATTTATGGGGTTTCTCTAATAAAACACATATACCTTAATAAATCAGGTTCGAAAATATTAGGGAGACAAAATAAGAATTTATAAACGCTTGCAAATTCTACTTTGAGAGCCGTCTTATATTCAGAAAACTAGCGTTTCTTAAAAAAATTTTTGAAATTTAGTGGCGTCATCGTTTTCCCACTGTCGTATTCCTAAATTTGTCATTTTTCAGTTGTAGGTCTGTTTATAGTCGGCTTTCATGTTCGTTGACCTTTTGTCAAATGAGCATATCTGGCTGTACAGTAGATACTGCATGTATTTTCCCGGGAAACATCGGTCTACCCTGTCATATGAGCAGTGGTCAAGTTCATTTATCTTATTTATTTCAGTTAGACAGTTATTGAAAAACCATGACCTTTAAAAATTGATTGACAGAATTGAGAATTTAACTGAGCTATAATTTTATATTTTATAGATAAACAAGAAAGAAGAAAATCGGTTTTTCTGCTGCACTGAACTTCGCCCTGGCTTGGAAGTCCTTTGTCTATTTTTACTATTCTTCGCTCTTCAATAAAGGTAATATTATAATTTATTATGTATTATTATGGGCGGTGTTTCTATTGCCAGAACTCAGGTCTAACCTGGTTAACTAATCGCACGGATTACAATCAAGTAACGATTAGTGTTTGTCTGTACGTCGTTCGTCTGCTCAATTTTTGTCGAGTCCTAAATTTTATAATTTTCTAAATACCAGTAATTAAATTTAAAAAAAAACATACATTAAAGAAATATAGGAATAGTATGTAATTCATACTTAACAAAATAGCTATTGATGGCCACAATAGCCAACGCTATTTAAAAAAAATCCTACAAGTTTAGCAATTTCATCAAGTGGCGTTGATTACGAGTGGGTTGGTGTGCTTCTGAGAAGAAGGAGTTTTGTGTTTTTTAACTGTGCTAGGACGTGTAACTTTATTTGGTGGACTGTTTTTCATATGTCGGGGCCCAGCGCAATGACAACAAAGTGGTCCAGATGCACCCCTGTTAGTATCTATATCTTTGTAGTGCATGTTGCGTTACTTGTATTTATTGTGTTTCTTTGTTCAAGCAGTTGTATTTGTGTGGTTTCTTGGGTTATTGGTGGAGATATTACAGTAAGTATGTTGTGAGCCAGTAGTGCTGTTTAGATTTTTGCGTTTGGGTTGAATACGAGTGGGCATTATTATTATTATTAAAAACTAAACTGAGGCGATTGAAATATACTCAGTGACATGGAAATTGCAACACCAAGAAGGAGTTGGAATTTTTTGACCAAACTTGGCAGAAAATGAAATATAATAAAAAGATGCCACACTTTTTCTTTACCGCGATTGATTATTATCAAAAACGACAGAGAGATAGATAGGTACCTAGGTATAATGTATCGTTTATGTAAAACGATCAATAAGTCTCTCTCCGCCCTTTTTATCTGATCTTATAAAATTTCCAATAATTGTAGTGATTCTTAAGTATGTAATATAAAGCGCTAAATTGGCTCGAAGCATTTGAGTTCAGACCGTCGTTAACAAATCACGACTTGGTAATAATATGGCGGTCCTTCATCCTCCATGCGAGCAATTGATTATAACTTCTCGTTTTCACGCCAGCGGATCTCGCCAAACGAATACATGATTTATGGACAAAATATGTAAATCGACGATAGCAAAATGAGGAGAACTTTTAATTAGAAAATTGTATCGAGGCGAAGGAAACTATTCGATTTGAAAACAATGAAACCGTTAACCTTTTCGTGTTATTCGGCACTTAGTCTGTAGTTTTTCTGCGATCTATTAATAAAAAGCATGTTTTCTTATTAAAGTTGGAGTTATAAGTTGCCAAGATAGCCATCTTTAATCTTGTCTTTAGATTACATTAACTTTTTTTGTCTGCAATTTAAATTTTCATTTAGAAAATGATTTCAATATTTATGTAACGATGCCGTAACACGAATAGGTTTCGTTCGCTACCCCGTATTTTTCGGCCCCGATCCTCGCGCCGCATGAATACAAATAATAAATTTCGAAATGTCTCATTACGAACACCGTTTTTTCTTCATATTTACACGCGTTGTTTATCGTCGAAGTTAGTTTTAAACACGTGTACATCATACACAACTTATTGTTTCACACTTATTTAACCAACCTTACCAATAGGTAGGTACCCACCTACACGCAACGGGGGCTCCTTGTTGTAAATTATGGCCGGTCATATCCTGTTCGTATATAGCTATACGCACCACCTCATTTATCGTCAATTCATAAAAATTAAAAAAATTACCATGACCATATAGAGTTACCTTAAAGTAAGTATACGCAAAGTTGCGTGCAACGTAACCGTTTATAAATCCATTGGGTTTTATCAATTTAACGTCAAAGTCTACCGGTGTAAATAGGTTCACCGACGATAATAAATTCTAACTGAAGAGTCGTAACCCTCGATAAACCTCCTTGCTACTTTTGATTTTTGACTTTTTAGCGTATGAAAGATAGTACCGTGAATTTCGTTAATATCT